GGCTATGTGGATTTCTATAAGCCTCACTTATCTGTATGTAAAATTCATTGATCCTATTTGGAAAGTTTTTCACTCTTATTTCAATAAACAGGTTTTTATGCAGTTTTGTTATCTTCTGATTTTTCACTAGTTCCAATTAATTTTATATGAGTCTTCTTTGCATCATCTAGAAGGTATTGGACCCATTTTTAATGTTGTCTTGTTTCTTAAGGTGCCTTTCAGTAATTGTTCATTGACAATAGAGACTATGTCCCCATATTGGTGACTTCTGTCAATACTTTCAGTAGAACATTTAATCTCCTGATTTCTATTTGGAACTCTTTTATGGGCTCTATTCTCTTTCTATGCTGCTGATATGTGTTTTCCATCATTTTGTTTAGTTTTTTTTTATTAGTGTCTTCTTTAGACTCACTAGTGATTTTGTTTAATTAGCCCAGTATCATCTTTCTTATATCTGCTATGATCTTCCACTTACCTTGTTAAACTGCTTTGTTAGCTCTCCTGATCCTATTTTGGATCATTTGGGCGTGAAGCTTTTGGTTTCCTCCCATTTGATGCTCCCTGGATCAGCTTTAGGGGAGCTGGGAGTTTGGGAGGCATTTTGTTTGCTTGTCTTCTCATGTTTCTACTTTTTTTGCTTGTTTGTTTTGTGTTAAAGCTTGTGAGCTTATTGTAGTGGAAAGTTTTGTTTGAAGTGTGGATCTCTTTAATGTCTACTTTTCAGTAGTGTTCCTTAGGTGTGACTAACTGCTGGCCTTTACTTCTGTCCTGGGATCCATCTCCCTCCATTTACTTGAGATGGGTGGTTGTAGCATGCTGGGTCCAATACCCACTTCTCCCAGAATTGGCCACAGTTAATGACCCCAAGGGAATGTAAATATTGGAAACTCAATGAAACCAACTGATAGGAATAGCTATGACACATTGGGTATAGTAATAAAGTCAGCACCTATTGTAGTATTAAATACAAACTGACTATTGACAAACCCTTAAGACCAATATTTATTGATGGAGTAAATTTGTTTTGATGTCAATTTTTGTCGATTCTGAATACTCAGTCTCTGCTGAAAGAGTAACTAGCAAAGATTTTCTCCCTTTCTGTCAGCTGTCTCTTCACTTTGTTGTTTCTTTTGACATGCAGAAGCTTTCAAATGTAATGTAATCCCATTTGTTGAGATTTCAGAATCTCCTATGACCCTTGTCCTGGCTTGGGGAAACAATGGAAAAAGATGTCCTTTACTTGAAAGTTTCATTAATAACCAGGTGTAGTAGCACATGCCTATAATCTCTGCACTCAGAGGCTGAGGCTTGAGGATCACTTTGTGTTCAAGGCCAGCCTGGGCTACATAGTGACCTGCATGAACTATACAATGAGATCTTGTCTGAGAGAGAGAGAGAGAGAGGAAGAAGAAGAAGAGGAAGAGGAAGAGGAAGAGGAAGAAGAAGAAAGCTCCTTTGAAAACTCCCAGTCTTAATCTGCAATCCTTGTAACTATGTCTTCTGCTGGTCCTGATGTAGTCTTCCTATTTCTAAAAGTCCTTTTAAACATTATTTTCAAGACAATATTTTTATAGCTAAATTCTGAGGTTAAACCTAGTGGATATGACCTTAGAAATTCTATGATTATTCATGTAAAGATCAAAGTATTACATGCTCTGTGCTCTTTAGTTGTTAGGGCTATAAAAGCAAAACCGTTTTTCATGCTGGTGTACCTAACATTAGTGAATGGATACATGTGCTGGAAATAGAGTAATGCTGGCCTGCCCTTAGCATGTCAACTGGGTCTCTGCATGCTTACTGAAATCCTTTCTGTGAAGCCACTTTGTTGGGTTTCTGTTGGGGTTAGGTACAGACCCTGCAATTTCTTCTTCCTGTCCAAGCTCTCCTGCCAAGATAGTGCTTCCCTATTCAGCTCAGTGTGAGCAGGGGTAGTGGCCACTCTATGGGTTATCTGCCAGCTTTGATTCAGGACAGTGTTTGATGGAGCATTACTGACCTGAAAATACAAATCACATCTGTAGAAAAAAGAAATAAAATTCAGTTCCAAAAAATAAAAAAGAATAAGATCAGTATATTTTCTCAATAAAATATTCCTACATATTATAAATTTATAATAATTAAAACAGTTATGTTATTGGTACAAAGACAGATCTTTAGGACAGTGGAATAGAATAGTCAGCCCAAAACGGAACTCGACAGCAGAGGGCATCAAAACAGGTTTCTATCCATATAGGAAAAAAGAAGACAAGGTGACTTCTAACTCATACCAAAAATAGAAATAAATTCTGGGTAGATAATCTTAATGATAGTATAATCTGAACCTTTGTCAGGATACAGAGAGAAGTAGTTTTAAAAATGGAGAATGTTAACTACACTAGAATGAAGAATTTTTGTTCCTCAGAAAACATCTTTGTAAAGTTAGAAAAACATGGTGAGAGTGGGAGATATTTACTACAGAACTCATATCCAGAATGAATAGAGAACACTCTCAAAATATTAAGAAAAATTAGCAAAAAACTTGAATAAAAATTTCACAAAAGAGAATATCCAAAAACCATTGATGAGCTGTCTCTGCTTACCAACCAGGAGGGTTAGTATGCTGGTGAGAATAAGGAGCCATAGGAATGCTTACATGCTCAGTGATACAGCCACTTACTAAAGCAGCTTGGCATAATCAGATATACTAGATCATTACACTGAACATACTCAAAAGACAAGAATGATCATAGCAATACAATTCATAATAGCCAAAATAATATTCATAATAGACCCAAATGTCTATCTATAAGACACTGAATAAATAATGACATATTTACTCAATGATTTGAATTCTGTTAAATGAAAATTAATGAACCACAGTTTCAAATAGCAACATGAATAAATCACATAAACATAACTGTAAGAATCCAGACACAAATGAATATATGCATATTATGTAATTCCATTTATATGCAGATTTAAAAATAGGTAAAACAAAACTGTTTAGAAATTCCCATTTGTGAGAGAAGAGATAAAAATTATAAAACTACAAGTAGTGTTTTCCTTGGTGAGGGAAAGGTAGAATACTGATTAGAGTACTTTCTGTGTCCTATGGGTCCTGTTTGTCTACCTGGGTGGAGATGACTTGGGTGATCATTGTATGGAAACACTTCAAGCTGTACATTTGGGTTGTATAAAATTTTCTCCGTGTCACAGTTCACAGTAAAAAGATTTAGAACTATTAGGGAATAGTGGATATTTTTGTATGCATTAGATAAAAGAAGTGATATTCTGGGCATGATAATTTGCAGATGTTTTTCCCTGACCTATTTGCAGAAATAGAAACTGTATTTGTTAGGCTCATCACAAAAGTTCTGCAGGAAGAAAGAAAGAGGAAAAGGTTTAGGAGTGAAATGGAACTGCATAAGATGGACATTTTTTAAAAAGGGAGTATACTGGAAAAATGATTCAAGAAATAAGACCTATGATGGAGTTCAGACAAGGACACTGGACATGTTCTGAGCGAACAAAGAATACTGAACTCCAACAGGCAATTGGTGTCTAAGGAAAAATATGCTGGTAAACGCCCTGGGGCTCAGAGAGGAGTTCTGACTAGGGGCTGGGGAAGCACTAGAAGAGCTTCTGATGATCTCTAAAACAGTGTGTATCCTCCAAGGGGCATGCAGGAAAGTACAATCTGTGATATTAACAAAATATTATTTAAAACTAAGACCAACTTTGGTCTGCTCTTTGTTGCCTTATGACCATAATTTTATACATCAGTAGTAAATGATGTATCAGAAGAACTCATCTCCAGAGACGGCTCCTGCATACAGTAGAATTTCAGTTATTACATGTAAGAGGAAAGAGCAAAATAGAAAATTACCATCAGTTACATGCCTCAGCAATAATCACTGCAGACACCCATCAGTGAATGTGTCTTACAGTTAATGGGAAAATTATATAAGATGCTAACTTAAGAGGAAAGTGGTGAAGCATATATCATTCTTCATATTACTTATGCAGCTTTTCTATAAGTGTAAACCTGGATCAAAATTAAAAAACAAAAACATTTTTAAGCTTTAAAGTATTTCTTCCAGCCCTGTTGAAACATTGTCGCGGCTGCCCCACCCCTCAATATGTGCCCCTGCCTAGAGCTGTGTGTTTTATTTGAAGTATGACGGGAACCCCCTGATGCTTGCAGGCAGAAAAGCAATGTGATTTGAGTTTATTAATTGTATTGTAGGCATTTATTTAATATTTATTTTTCATTACATTGGTATCCAATCAAAAACAAATTAGGGAGTGGTATAAGAAAATTATTTTATTAAGGGGAAACCTAAAGACATTCATCAGTGCATAAGAAATCATTACAATAATTATTGCATAGGCTGAATGAGAATACATGTGATGAGTTGCAATACGAGAAGAAATGTGAAAGGAATGAGCATACCTGTATTAAGACCTGGGCATTGTGCAGTTTATCCTGTAAGGGTTGTGTGCTCACTCACAAGAGTGTTGTCTCCAGATAGTTTCTTTGGATCACTTTCAATTTTGTGATTTTATATTACTCATTCTTCTGCTCCCTTCCCCCCATCTCTATCTCTCTGTCTCTCTGTCTCTGTCCAGGGAGTTGAATGCAACGTTAGACACAAGGTCTCGAACTGGCTGAATGTAGCCCACATGTATGTTGTGTTTGGGGCACATGTTGCTTTAAAAGATTTGGAGTCAGCATTTTTAAAAATCAAAGGTTTTAAATTGTAATTTAGATTTCTATCTTCTCTTGAAAAACGGGAAGATCTGACAATATTGGGCCTAGCTTCCTTCATGGCAGGGATCGGCAGGAGATGAGTTGGGGCCACACCCTCAGGTCTTCACGAGTGAAGGCTGCCGTCTCCCTAAACACAGTGTGTTTATATTACGTGAACCTGAGTTGTGTCCCTTATATTTACACCTGACTCCTGTAGGCATCTGACTGGATGATGAACCCTCATAATCTCCTGTTTTCTTCACTTTTCTAGGAATCCCCCGTCCCAGAAGACAAAGACCGCCGATTTATCTTCTCTTATTTTCTAGCCACCAATACCATCAGTATCTTTGAGCCTCCTGTTCGAAACTCTGGTATCATTGGGGGCAAGTACCTCGGCAGGTCTAGAGTTATGAAGCCCTTTTCCCCTGTGGACAACCCCAACTACTATGGCCCTGGTGACTTCTTCATTGGTGCTGTGATTGAGGGTGGGTCTAAACACAGACCAGTTTCCTACTGACTGGGTAAATAGGTTCTTAATTGTAATTTAATTCATTTAAGCCTCATAAGAGGCATTAGCGTGTATAAATCTAATATTCTTATGTAAATAACATAATGTCTTCATCTCTTTCTCAAGTAAACTCTATTGGTTGCATTTTTTAGATGTTGACACTGAACTTGCTAAACCCTAAGAAGACTGCTATATATAAATTTATATGGCAATTGAAAATTCTTTAGTCTGAGCCACAAATGCGTATATGTGAATTTACCCTTGAGGGCTCCTATTGTTTACTTCTGATTATACGAGAGAAACATAATCCAACCAAGTGCCCTGCGGTTCTTTCCCAGTGTTCAGCCACCGGTTCGTCATCCTTGATACTGATGAGTATGTCTTAAAATACATGGAGAGCAATGCTGAGCAGTTTTCACCAGAAGCAATTGCATCAGTCCAAAACCACATCCGAAAACAAGAGGCTGCCGCACCAGAGCTGGAAAAGTACGTGTGACCGCCCAGTGTCCTTTTTGGCTTTGGCATATACAAGATACTCAGGAAGTGACTCCTGGTAAAACAGAGGGGTAATCATTTCAGATTTTCAGATCTGTTTTACAAGGTAGGAGTTATTAGGCATACACAGAAGGTTCCTTTAAAGTGTTCGGCTTCATTTGTTTAGCAAATAATCAAATGACTGAGTTTCAGATGCTATCAGTAGGCCATTGAGCTTTATCGGTAAGCAGAACAGACAAGAAGTTGCTGTCCTCGAGTTGATCTATCTACTAAGGAGCAGAAGCTAGACAGTCACACAAATGAGTACCTTATGCAGTATGTCAAGTGAAAGATGCCGTGGGAAAGTGGAGCCAACACGGGTGATGAGAGTTTCTGGAGAGTGACAGTAGGTTGCAGTTGCTCAGAGTGGCTGGTTGTGCCTGGAGAACATAATGTTGAACCAACACAGGAGGTAAGGGATGAGTTGGGAGCAAGAAAACCCCTCCAGTGAGCCCTCACCCTGCCAATAGTACAGTCACCACCTCCTCATAACACAGTCGGGTATGAACTCATAAGCACAGTGTCCCCATGATCCCGTCACCTTGCAGACACACCTGAGACTTTGGGGTATGTTTTGATCTAAACCAAACACACAGCAACTCCTAATTGGTGTTGCAAATGAAATAAGGGCTGTATTATGAAGACGCAGAGGGAGGAATCTTGGGGAGGTAGCCACCACCATCTCCCAGAACTGCCATGTCTGCCTAGCTACTCCCACAGGGCACCTGCTAATTCATCTCAGTGTCTCTTCTATGCTAATTCATCTATGCTGTCTCTTCCTTAATGCATTACACACTTCCGTTAGATCAGTCATCCTGGAACTTGGCTCTGAACTCACTTTTAAAAAGTTGGCATTGCTTAAAATTGTGAAGTGCTTAGACTGATATCTAAGAACGTCCACAATGTGATTCCCAATTACCATCAAAATTGGAGTTCTAATTCACATTTCCACATGCTCTGCAGCCCAGACATGGGCTTGTCACACTGACTTCAAGCATTCTTAGCCTGTCGCTGTCACCCAGTTTCTTTAACTGATTCCAAACATCCAGACCTTCACATCCTTTAGGGTCTAGGTCAGGTCTACCTGCTTACTTCAGCTCTTCCTCTTTACCTATCTTAAACAGAACTGATATATTTCTTTCTTTGATGATTTTAAAATCTGCCTTAACTCTTAGACAAAAAAGTATCCTTACTAAAAACAAAATGTTGTCATACTCAAGGTTTTTTTTTCCTCCTGCGTCAAAGCGAGCAAGAATCTAACATGTCTAATCAATCGTTAAATGAAGAAATATTTTTCCTAGGAATGTGAATAAAACTTTTACCACTTATCATTTGTTGTGTTTTTGCTGTCAAACACTAAGTAATTTATACATAATAATTTATTTAATTCTTATAACAACCTTTATGAGGTGGTGTCCTTTATTTATTTTACTGGGAATCAAACTCAGGACTTGTACTTGCCAGGCAGAGCACTTTGCCACTGTGTTATATCCCAGTCCGACGGGGCACCCTTTACAACCCCCACATCACAGATGAAGCAGCTGAGCTGCAGAGTAATGAAATAATCGAATCAAGATCATGTGGCCTCTTAAGTGGCAAAGCTGAGACTTTGAACCAGGTGGTCAGATTGCAGAGCTCATCCTCTTTACTATAACCTTTTCTGCTTTACCAGAGAAAGCACCAATTCATTGGGTTACTCTTTTTAAAATAAATATCTTGACTGTATCTGAGCTCTCTGGGCAGATGACTGCCTGTCTTGAAAATGGGTTCGACATCACTAGAGCAGGTGACAGCTAAGGTCAGGCCAGGTGGTCCAGACCAATAAAAATAGAAATGGTCATTTTTAAACTCTGGCACTGTATCTGTGTTAGAGTTGCCTGCCACCAAAAAGAAATACTGCTGTGGTCAGATATAGTAGTGCACTCCTGTAATCCCAGCCCTCAGGAGGCTGAGGCAGGAGGATCACCTTGAGTTAAAGCCACCCTGGGCTACATAGTGAGTTCAAGGCCACCATGAACTGCATAGTGAGACCCTGTTTCAAAAAGACAAAAAAAAAAAAAAAAAGTACTTTTGGGAGACTTGCAGACTATTTGTTTCTTTAAAAAGCAATTCTTGATAAGTGGAGGATTTTGCCAAGTGCTTGAAACAGAGTATTGTAATAGACTGAAAAACCAAGACATCTTTCTTAGATGTCAAACTCACATGCTTTTTATGGCAAGAAGGGTAGCACAACACAGGGCTTGGCACAGGGTTCACCCAGCATGCTGGCACCCCCTAGCCACTTCTCAGCTGGCAGTCCCTGAGGCACTCAGCCAGCTGCCCTGGGTTGCCTTGTTGGCCCCTGGGAACACAGCCTTGCCCCAGCGCTGGGAGCTCTCTCATGGATTGGACCCTGACAGTCAAACGGAGACTGTAACTTTAACTGGCTATGCTTCAGACAGTACCACCTGTTGCCATCTGTCTGCGCACTGATTTCAGCTTGCTCAGAGCAGCTGATGTGCTGGTGTTTTCCCCGCTGTGTGAAGGAGAATGGATATCTGGCTTCTTCAGGGAGAGAGAGAGTTATCGCCTGTGTTGTCATTTTTCCCAAAATGATGGAATGATGACATTTTGTGCTTTGATTTTCTGAGAGTAGTCTACTCTTCCTGCAGCATTGCCAGTGATTACATTATTAATCTATTGCTTGATTATAGTATAAAAGGCTTAATGTCCTATGTTTGGACATTTACAGTATCTTAACATAGCCTAATAGATTTAACTTTGCACACAACCCATGACTTTCATTAGGACAGAGTATTTGAAATTCCACTATAGGCTTTTGTTCCTTGTTTCCAAACGGCTTCTGAAAAGTTATGCAGCAGCTAAAAGAAGTTGTTGGCAATTATGAACTTTTAAATATTATATACATGGAAAAGTAAGAACATAAACATAATGGTGGGTCCCGGAAGAGGGAGCTGGGCAGTAGAGTGAGGTGTGGGTTCCGGTGCCAGCCCTGTGTGGGGTCGGGGTGAGTCTGTTGGTCTCCTGTCTGTGTGAAGCCAGTCTGTGTTATGTGGTGAGTTAAACTCCACAGTGAGACCTGTCTTAAAAAACGCATCCAAAATTAAAGAATACATTTTTAAAATGAAAATTTCTATTTTATAATTGTAGCTTCATTTTCCGAGGAAAAAGAAATTGAGCTTCTGCTTCTGGTGCTTGTGTTTTTAAGGGATCAACACCCTTCTTCCACTGCTCTATGTTTCTCTTCTCTCTTCCTCTTAGGAATTGCTAAGCCTAAACTTCTCACCACTACACAGAGTAGTCCCTTACCGCCTAGAGATGACCTTTCACAAAAACCAGTGAGAACCGGAGAGAGAATATTAAGAGATTCCTAGTTGCATAGTTACATATACATTTTTCAGAAGCATGTATCGATTCTTGCATGGAATAATGTTAATCTGCAGCAGCAGTAGGGGACCATCGTGTGATTCCTACAAATACTGGACTTGGGATGGTGCTGATGTTAGATTTGGAGCTCTTTGGTTGCAGTAATTTAATGGATGGCAAACAGGAAGAAGTTCAAAAACTGCCTGGTCAGACCTTCTTGATGCGGGGGTGATCATCTGGCAGCCTCTGTACTCTGACCAGTAGTGTTCCGCCACCGGTCAGTTCAGTGTCAAGCTGTTTGTCATCAGAAATTCCTCAGCGTCACTAAGTGAGAACTTTGGTTACTGAGATAAGACTTGTCAGGGAATAAATACCACAGTCCAGTCATTTCCTTCCTTTTTCTACAGCAAACAAGCTGAAGAGGATCCAAGCATACACGAACTGGAAGCATTAATAGACACAATCCAGAAGCAACTGAAAGATCATCCATGCAAAAACAGCATTCATGAAGCGTTTCAAAGTCACGACAAAGAAGCATCGGGCTATGTGGACAGAGACACATTCTTCAAAGTCTGTGATTCTCTGAATGTCCCAGTTGATGACTCTGTGGTCAAGGAGGTCAGTATGGATTGTGTTTGAGAGGTTAACAAGGGCTCAGCACTGATCATTCTTTCCTAAAGGCAACCGCGTGTGTGTTTATTTTAGCTGGGGAACATTTAGGATGTTTAAATCAGGTCTCCTGTTTTGTCCTGATAGGGCCATTTCCCTGATTCTAACACTGACTGTTTTTCAAGCTGCTGTTGCCAGGCATCTTTTTCAGATATCCTGGAGTGGATGACAGACCAACATTGTCAGGACTGAAGGGAGCAGCAGAGATGATCTTCTAGGGGCAGCTGCCAAGGGGACATCCAGAGAACGTTGATGAAATGAGATCATTGGTGGCCTTTGATATCCTCCAGGGCTGGAACCTACCTTAGCGTGTCTGTAGGATCAGCATGCAGGATGACATGGCCACTGTCCAAAGGGGCAATGAGGGCCTATAAGGGTAGCGTGGCTTAGTTGCAAGTGTGGAGCTTTCCTGCATTAAAAATCTCTTTACTCATGGTTCCCATAGAAGTCAGAATAAAATCTACCCTCACAATTGCCAAGGATTTTGGTTTAACTTTTAGGACATTTTCACTGGTTAACAAGAGTGAGGTTCTTCAGACCTTCTTAAAGGGTTTTAAGCAAAGAATATTCAGAAGTTGAAATCTATTTAGGCAAGTTTCTTGGGAGGCTAAAATGACTAGCTTGGAAATGATTTTATTTTTTTTTAATAGACAGGAACATTTTCAAGGAGTTGGGGAGGGCCCGTGGAGGTGTATTTGTTCATGTGGGCCAAAGCATTTAGTTCTCTAAATATGAGATTGAACACGTGCCTAGTTTCCATGGAACTAACATGGGAGATGTGAAGCAGTCATGGAAAGTGGGACAGGGATGGAAGGGGTGGGGACAGATCCACAAGTATCTTCTAATGATAACCAAAATAAGTCATTCTGCTATCAGTCACATCTGAGTTTCAGGGGACATGGTTTAAGCAATAACATAGATGTTTCTGTTGGGCTGTGATAAGAGGAACCTATTTTTTTGTTTTTTTTTTAAAAGAATCATGGTCTTTGGTGGACAGAGTCTTATATTTGCATATAAAAATTAAACTGCTTTAAAAAATGACAAAACCTTTATGAATATGGATGCTAACCCGAAAGTCTTGGGCAGGCTATTTACTCCCCCCAGCTTTGGTTTCATAAAGTGGAAGACAAGAATAATGTCTAACCTGCCTACTTAGGATCATTTTGGGATCCCCTAAGGCTAGAAAACCCGAGTTTGGGACTGGGATCCCTGTACTTACGTACTGTCTGCAGGAAGTGGAAGGAAGTCCTGGCTGCCTGTCTCACCTTTTCTGTGCTTTCTTCTGCAGTTAATCAGGTTGTGCTCTCCCGGAGAAGACAGGGTTAACTACTATAACTTTGTCCGTGCTTTCTCAAACTGACCTGGCTGGTGACTGAACACAACATAAATTTTTGATGTTGGACCTGAACTTGGGATTACATCTTGTGTTCCTCATAGAAAGATCTACAGAACCCCTGAAATTATATTTCTTTTTTGGTTCTTGTTCCACAACTGCTGAAGTCTGAATTAAATTGATTCTAAGATTAAATAAGATCTAATATTGGTGCCTCTTTATGGGTGGTTAGGGGAATTGTAATGGCTAATTTGGCCAACTTGACTGGGTCACAGGGTGTCCAGGTATTTCACTTCAGTCCAGAAAATACTCACTGAACTGGGGCTGTACCTTAGTGGTCGACAGCTTGCCTACCATGCCTGACGCCCCAGGTTTGTTCTGCAGCACCACTAAATGAACTCAGTACTCAGCTGTAACCTGCCTTCCCAGGAAAGGAAGCCCCTAGTAGAGAGTGTGTTGTGTGTGTTAAACGCGCCCTCAGTGGTGGATGCTGACAGCCTATCAAAAAAAGTAGCACTCAGTACTCTTTCCATCACCCCCGTCTCCTGTGGAAAAGTTCACCAAAGCCTTGGCCCCCGTTTCAGAACATCTTTCATGGATCCACCCAGTTGAAAGCATATGAAAACACTTTGCATTTTCATCCTGAGCTCTGGGCTGAAATGGAGATTTAGGACTTTCATACACTCTTAGCCACCTGCTGAAATCCAAGTGCTCACAGCCCTTTGCTTGAGTTCTGGCTGCTCATCTCTCCTTTATTTTTTCCACTAGGTGCAATAGTGAATGCAATGAGGTCTCCGGTTAAAATGCCAGCCCTACTGTCAGAAGCCCCAGTTGTCAGAAGTCTCTAAGCTTGCCTTCCACCCCTCGCCTTGCATCTCCTTCCAAGTTTACCTGTAACTGAGATCTCAGGGCATCATTGCAAGGTGTGAAAGCTACTTTGGGAAGGACCATAGCAGGTCATTTATGTGGCCTTCTCACACTCACTGATCACCTCTGTTAGATTATACAAGGCAGCCAATATAGGGACTACCCAAAGTCAGACCAAAACACTTTCCTACTGTGTGCCAGTCACAGCTGGCGTACATCTGGAGTCCTGGGCTCAAGTGATGGAACAGAGCTGAGCACTGGCATGCACCAAACAATACTTTGAGGAGAAGAAATGATCATCACATTACATTGGCTAACTGGCACTTGAATCAGAGCATATTAACATTACCAGTATTTTCCGTGGAGGAACCCTGCTAGTTCTATCAAATTTAACTGAAGGATGTTTCTAAAACTGACTGCAATGTCTTAGAGCTTCAAGGGCTTCCAAGAGGAAAAAATAATCTGTAGAGGTTAAAGAAGTGGAGACTGCCTCTAAACTAGCTGCTCTGAGTCCTAAGGCTGTACCTGAATGTAGCACTAGAAGCCCCCAAAATACTATTAACTAAGATCTATAAAACTCATGCATGAACTTTGAGGGGATTTGAGGCTAGCAGGTAGAGAAGACTTCTCCAAATGTTGGGTAAGTAATTATGAAGTATCCTGATGACACGTACATATCAATACGTTCATTGAAAAAATAAATACGTTGACTATTTGACACGTACCATGAATTTAGTATTCACTGTCACCATTCACCATTCTCCAGGAAACAAAAATAAACTTAGAAGACACAAATGAGCAAATTGGCTGAGAAAGGTTATCCTCCTCCACGCAGTGTACCTCAGTGTGGCTATTAGTCTCACTCACCCTCACCTGAAGTAAACTGTCCTGGTCGTTCTCCTAGCCTGTGAGTGTCCCACCTGTAACTGCAATCATCCCCTACACTATCTCAGATGGTTCTGGAAAACACAGCAAAACAGCTGTGGCTGTTTAAGGCCACCCATATTAGTGATACTGGGGTGTCTTCTGTAAGCACCAGCATGTGCAGTGGCTTTTCCATACACTGAACCCCAGCTGCTCCAAGGCAAACGACTCCACAGGACACCACAGGACATGGAGGACTTCCTTCCCTCCTGTCCATTTTAAGAAAACCTTCTTTTCCATGGAATAAATAACAATGATACCTATTGTTATCTGCAATGCGATGTAACTGATTCTTCTTCTTGAATTTCAGTTCCTTGATTCACATCACCACAATGGATAGCTATATCTCAAGAAACACAGGCAATGACTAGTGAAAAACTGTAGACAACAGGGCTAAAATGCATGCAAGCTCATTTTCAAGTGAAAGCCAAAAGCATTATATAAAAGCATGTAAAGGAATTAGACACAAAAAAGACTGATAATTCTATGCCTTTTATTCAGTTATTTCAGAAAATATTTGATTTTTTTTCAAAATGTACATTTAAAAAATCCATACAAAACTGTGATTTGCTTTAAAACCAGACAGAAACAGTGGAAAAAGGATTTTGAAAAAAGTTCACCAAAAGTAAAAAGACACCCCTCCCTCCCAACCCTTTTACATGAAAACATAAATACGGCAGGTACAAATGTTCCTTGAGTTCCTTGTTGCAATTTGGTCCATAACATGAAGAGGCTAAAGTAGAAAAACAGACAATGTGTACACATTTGCATTATGAGTTGCTCTGGGTACCAGCAGCCTCAGCGCATCCTTCAGGTGTTTATTACACAAAGTGAGGTTTACAGTCTCATCACATCAACACTGGAGTCTCCCCAGCAGATGGTGGTGCCATCATAGCCAGATTCCAGCCCCCCGGGGAGATTCTCAAGAAATCCCCACCTTCTCCACAGGAACAAGACACTGTGGAATGCTCTCAAGCAGAGTGGCAGTCATGCCACCAGGATAGTCCTAGACACTGACTTGATTCCCATCCTGACAAATTTTTTCCTTTCAAAAGATTTTTTTAAAATATACTTCTAAGATGGTACATGTCCTAGAAAAGAGGCATAGAAACTCTCCCAGGATGACGCAAATGGCAGCAACGAAGGGAAAGCGGCCAACACACCCCCTGTAAGGAATAACCACCCCTCCCGTGGGTCCCCTTTCTCCCTACTGCAGGGTGTCGACAGGGACACCAAGGCCTGTGGAAGGACAACTGTGGGGACAGTTATTGCACAACCCGGAGGAACAGGCAGGCAAGGGGCAGGGAAGGGCTGCTGCCACAAAGGACCACCTGCCTCAGAAGTCAGGTCTGCGCTTGTGGTCCAGACCCACTGTCAGACAATCTACATGCAACCCCCACCAGGGAGTACCAGGAAACACCTTCCCCGTAGGAACTTCGGGCTGTATGGGAAGTGACACAGATGGAAAGAAAGAGGATGCAAGGCCACCTTTGTGTCTACCCTGGGATGGAGGGATCCTGAGGGCTAGAAGCACTGGGGGCTGGGTGCGCTGAGTTTCATTAACTGTGCCCTGCCTTGAGCTACATCTCAGGCTTCACAGCCAGCCAGCCAGCCTGGTTGGGGGAAGCTGACCAAGGGAGAAACCAGAAACAACGCATGGAACATACCAGACCCTACCACTCTAGGGGAGGGAACGGATGAGGGAAACCTGTCAGTCCATGGCCCTTTCCTGCATTAACTCTGCTGAGGTACAGTGTCTATGGCTGCATGCACCCAACAGCCCTGCAGCCTCAGCAGCTGGCGGCTGACTGCACAGTACAGACCAAGGCACACGGCGATGTAAGGCACTTGCGATACAAAAGGAGTAACAGACTGGTCAGGACAAGGACAGACGCCCGAGCAGGAAACGCTGGCAGCTGTGGGTCCCACTGCCCCTCTTAGCCGCTGCACTGACAAATGACCTGTACAAAGTACCAGGCAGAAGGCTGCTGGGGAGGGAGGGAAGAAAGTTAGCTATGCCGACTCCCCTGTCTTCTCCCAAACCAATTGGGAAAGCTGTAGCATAGAAAACACACCCAAAGGCCTTCCCCCGCCACGGGGGCCACCAAGCCTCTTTTAATAAAAGCATTTGTGAAACAGCATAATCATGGAATTCCTGGAGATCATATACTCTTGGTTCCTACTTCTGATTTACCACTTGGAAAAAAAGGTCATAATGAATTGAGGAAGGAGGTTCCAAAAGAAAACCTAGAAAACACTCTTAGAGATCCCTGGTGTTAGGTACTCTCAAGAGTCCTAGAATTCCAGTCAAGAAGAGAATGGAGGAAGAGGTCCAGAGCACAGGTATCTAATTTGGTTTCCTAGCAGTTGCTAGGTTCTGCCTTGGCATGGGAATAGGCAAGCAGCTCAGCAACCATCTGTATCTGGCGGCCCTCGACCACTCAGGGCTGTGACTGATGGCACAGGGAGACAGCTATCCTTTCCCCCACAGCCATCCTACCTTCAAGAGGAACACATGGAATTATTAATAGTGAAGCTATCACAGCCTGGATGGTAAAAATAACTCTATCACTGAACCTCCCAGGAGAGAAGTCAGCACCAGGGAGCGCTCCTTCCATCAAAGGCCAAACCCTCCCACCACTGCCATCTGCTGGTGTCCCCACACAGGTGTGCCAGGGAGGGATGCTGTGAGGTGCCTGGCTGCTGAGGTAGATTGGCATCTTCTGCCCTTGGTGGATGGCGCTTCGCTGGCATCTCACACCAGGAGGATCGGACAGGGCTTTCACAACTGGTTTGGCACTTTGGAGACAGGAGACTACAGAAAAATAAAGAAAATAGCCAACGTGCCCAAACTGATACAAGCTAGTCCAACATAATCACAGGATGAAGAACTGAGTTATTTAAAACCTGGTTTGTGCCAACTTAACAATGACTTGACTTTACTGACATAAACGTGCCAGGGAGATGAGTACAGGTAATAAAGTGTCCTGTAATCACCCTCTACGCCCCCTAAACATCCCTGAAGTCCAAGTTGGAGAGCTATCATCCTTATTCATGATCTCAGGGTTTTCTTTAACATAGGATCTCCTGTCACAGAGGAAATATTTGTCCTTTAGGATCCAGGCCCTAAGGCGACCCTTACCCCTGGGTTTGTGGTATCACACCCAAAGCACAATGAACTGGTAGCACCAGATGCTTGTAGGAGACTTAGGGAGAAGACATGTCATCTCTGGCACCCAGGTAGCCGGGGACAGAGCAATGGAGATCTATATGCTCTGTGGGGCCGCTAAACCCAAGATGCTAGCTGCTTTGACTACCACGCCCAGGTCCCCTTCTCATAGCACAGCACCAGCTCAGCCAAGCCTCTCCAGCAGATAGCTATTGTGGCGCTGCCCATGACACAACCTGGGGAAAACCGAGCAGGGCAGCAAGGCTCCTGAGGGAGGCGGAGCTTAGGAGGCCGCTGGCCACACCCTGCCTCCCCCAGCAGTTCCAAGCAGGGCAGGAAGCATTTGGCTAAGGGCCCTGTTCAGCTCTGCTGGGTTCATATCAAGCTGCCCTTTACCACCTGGGAAACAGAGGGAAGCAGAAGATGCCTACTTTAAAAAATGCTGTCCTGCTTCCTAAGGGTAATCAAAAGAAGCCAGAGGCACTTCTTCCCAATTCCACCTGCACTCCTGGGCAGAGAGATGACAGTCTACAATGGTGTCTGGAAACAAATCCCTTAGTTATTGTAAGTTTGAGTTTGTAATACTGGTGAACTCGAGTAGGGCAGTTTCCTTGAGGAAAAGATGCATCTCTCCCTTTTTTGGTAAAAATGGTCTCTACTATGAAAAATCAGCAAGAACACCAGTATGCCAGGTGAAATTAACATTCCCGTGCCACCCTGTACTCCCCTTTATCTCAGCACAGAATCCAAGCATTCTTAATCAGGACCTCTAAAAGCCTCCCTCCCCTTGTGAAGTCCTCACAAAGCACCATAAGGACCTGGCAGCCCCATCTTCAGGTGGAAAGGGAGGAACAAATACTGTTGGGAGGGGACTGAAAGACTCCTGGTGACATGACTATGTCTGCTCATCCAACCGAAAAGCAACTCTGAATCAGTCCTAGTTCCACACTGTGGGTGTGCCTTACACACATAAGCAAATGACAACTTCAAAGAGCATTCAGGCCAAATGGAAGGTGGTCAGGTGACCCCCTCTGGGACCCTAGAGACTGGTGTGAGGCTGCAGCCCTTGAGGCTTAGTGTCTCTGCAGCTGGAGAGATAAAGTCCAGGTTGCAAGGTTGCCCTGACCGGGCTGGCTGGTTCTAGGCTTTAGACAGGCACGTCTAGGGGAGGTCGGCTAACAGCTGTTTCGTTTGGTTTTGAATGCTGGTGAATGGCTGAAGACACACAGCTGCTGGCAGCAGTGCAGAAAGGCCTAAGTCAACTGACTGTGCTGTCCTTCCTGTCGTGTCTGTTACATTTCCGGAAGTGCCTCCTGTTTAGCATACTTGACTCTTGCTCTCCAAGTGGGAAGTATCCTTCTTCAGCATGTATCTCCACAGCAAGGGTTTCCAGCCCACGGCCAGCAATGGTGAGCTCTCTGCAGTCACGAGACCTACAGAATGCACAATGTCCTTCTAGATGGAGTTGCCAGGAGCCAGAGCCAAAGGCCTCAGCATCCTTCCCAACCGGCAGCAGCTGCTGCATCTCCAGCTGGTTTGTGCGGGACCAGAATCATACATCTCCACATCAATCAGCACCAAGGAGGTTGTGATCCAAGGGGGCAGCTCTCCTCGTCCTGCCCCTCCACACAAGGAGTACTGCAGGGCCTGCCACTGGCCCCGGGAGAAGCTCCTTAGCGTGAGGCTTCCAGATTGCCAGCTCCTGCGACTCACAGACAGGACTGCAATCTTAGCTCCCTCTCATTGTAAAAATCAGATGCAGAAAAATTGCACGTTAAGGTAAAATTAAGAAGTAAAAAGGAAAAGCAGCAGCTATGAATGAAGAGTAAGAAGAGGTAAGCTGAAAGAGAACCATGAAAAGAATCTAGGTTTCCAGAAAACCCAACACAGGACAGAAGTGAAGCCATGAGGTGGCTTGAAGGAGTGAGAGAAAGATTTTTGGCTTTATTGAGAAAGGTATGTGGAAGAATAGGAAGAGAAAGCCAAGAAATAAGAAAGAGAAAACCCCCTTTGACAGGTTCCTGCGGACTGAGACGGAGCGTTTCGAGGAGGAAGGAGGAGGCAGTGTGGGGCCCGGGCTCCTGCCTCCTGGCCAGTCCCCCACTAAAGATTCCTGTTCTCAGCACTTTGGCCTTAAGGAGACTTGAGTTTCTTAGTCCGTGGAGAGGTTCCGTTCTCTGCTTTCACCACTCCATTTTCATGGTAACCTGGGGAGTGGAGAGAGACAGACACATGTAGGGTTCCGCTGGAGCCACAGATAGGAATAGTGAGTAGGGCCATGCTGGGGGTGGTCCGTGGGCTGCCCCAGGGGGCTGGGACTCCTAGTAGCGGTGGAAGCCAGCAGACCGCTCCTAGCACAGTCCTGCTCCCCCAGCGTCTTGGACAAGTGCCCTTGTTTGAGGCGCTTGGTATCAGTCCTTTGGCAAGGAAGCCTACAGAAACCCAGACACAGGCCTGAACCGGGGCAGAAGCTGGCTGGAATCACTCAGAAGCTGCCAGTGTCCTCGGCTCCTCTCAGCTCCCTCGGGATGCCGCAACTCAGAACAGTGGCAACACGAGTGAGGAGGCGCAAGAGGCCACAGGGACCAGGCCTGCCTCGGCTGCCTGACACAGGCAGAAACAGGGTGCTTTCCGTTGCCTTCACTGCAGCACAGGCAGTGTGCTGCAGCCCACACCACGCCCCTGCCCAGGCCGCCTCCTCGGCACACCCAGCTACACACGAGTCTGCCTCAAACACAGATGCCTGTGCCAAGGAGGCGGATCCTCGGAGAAGAGCAGATGAGTCAGGAAACAGATCCTGCTGTAGACAGGCCCCCAGGCTGGGCAGAAAGTACACCTCTAGGTGATTACTGGAGCGTGCACAAAGGCCAGAGAAGTGGGTGTCCCGCCCCTGCCGCCCACAAAACACTGTGTCACTGTGAGTCATTTCTGGAGACAGAGGAGCCACCCTGCCAGGAGGCAGGGGCAGGCCCAGATGTAGGGCACAGGGGCAGGTGAGGACACGGCCAGCCGCTGTGTAGTATAACGCATGGGTGGCGACAACGGCAACAGAACTTGGTTGGGCTCCAGGAGCCACCCCGAGGAGACACTTCCCACCAGAAGGCCTTACCCAGTGCTGCCCTGCCCTGAAGTACCAGGGTTCTGGGTCTAGTTCGGGCCAGCCCCACCCACAGTGCCCCTGACCCGTGCCCAGGCACACGTCAGTCAGCCAGGGAGCCTCCGGCCTAGGGACACAGTTGGGAAGGAGGAGCCACAGGATTGGTGTAAGGAGTGCACAAGATTCCCAGCTCCTCCCCACCATTCCGACAGACCTCATCCAGTTTTCTGGGCTGCAGGGCCTGGCACTCACCAGATTCCCTCTTGGTGAGCCTGGCTGGGAGCCTGGGGACAGCTGGGACTCTCCGCTTGGCATTCTGCTCGTTCCAGTATTCACGCCAGTGTCGCAGCTGAGAGTGGATGAAGCGCCACATGAGCCAGGCCTGGGCAGCACACACCAGCAGCAGCATGAAAAGCCTGTGGAAGGCAGAGCAGGGCTCAAGGGAGGCAAGGCAGAAACCCCGTGGCTCAAAGGCCACTGCTACCAGAAGAGTGGAGCCTTGGTGGTCAGTCTGGGCTCCGGGACACTCAGCAGTACGAAGGGACTGTCCAGGGAGAGGGCAACGAAGCAGCGACCAGGGCTGCCTAGTTGCACAGCTCCACCTAGTTGACTCCCACACCTGGGATCCCCAGCCACATGGCTTTAGTGTGCACAGTATCAGGTAAGGCTGATGTAAACTCCACAAATACTGGAGGGCTTCAGATGAGCTGCATTATGAGATGGCTAAAACAATTCTGCAAAAGTAGCTTCTTGTCTGGCAAGTCACTCAAAGGTAAAGCAAGTATAGACAAATCACATGCCCTCCAGGTCCTACGGGCTTATGGCTGCCATCCTCGATGGTAGGAAAGACTATTGGCCAACCCAAGGACACCATAGGGTTTTTTCCTCATGACTTTTTAGTATTTGCACACTGGCCATCCATATTAATGGATTTCATTCTGGCAACAAAGTCTCTGCATGCTTGGGATGATTGGTTGACAGACTAAGAAAACTCTCTTAACACTGAGTAAAGGTAAAGGAATCTGCAGTTGATTAAAACCCTGACTGCAGCCTAAGCACTCCCACAGGCAGGGAGCAACAGGGGTTTTGAAGGAAGCAGGAGGATTCTTTTTCCCTCATATCTGATGTCTAGATATTTTCAGCTAAATGTCAGTATGTGGGAGATTCCAGGACCTACCACCCCTGACCTTTTGTGGAAGTTGTGCCAAGGTCAGGAGGCTCTTGGCAGGGCTCCAGGGAACCCTGATTCACCACCTGGAGCTTCAGCCCGACTCACCTGCAGAGCAAGGTGTTGAAGTTCCCTTTCTCAGGGTCAAAGGCCTGGTTTTCTGTACGAGCCAGTCCAAAGCCGATGGCCAGAACCGCGAGGGTGAGGATGAAGAGACGTGTAACCCCAAATACAGCAGCCCAAGCATTAAACCTGATCACGGGGGGCAAGGAAATGATGTCAGCCTTTAGGATCCTCAAAGTAACCTTCACCCATGAATCCAGAACAACTGAGTGGGAAAAGGCCTCACGGGGGGCCTGAGAAGTTCCAGGAAAGAGCAACCTAGGGTTAAGCTTACACCCAAAGGCAGGAGCCTCTGATGTTCAGCACCCTCAAGGAGTACCCCAGGAGCCCCACTTACAGCTTCTCGTTGTTCTCATCTGCAAAGTAGAAGAGGCGAGCCATGTAGAAGAGGAACTCTGTGGAGTACTGCAGCAGCAGCAAGATGAGGCCCAGGCGGCTCAGGCTGCAGAGGGGAAAAGACAAGGCGGAAGCCGTCACCCTCTCTGCGTTCAGGCTGTCCTCTGACTCCACTTTCTCACTGGCCCTGTCCCATCCTTTAGGATGCAATTTAGCTGCTGCACCTGTAGGAATTCTCCCTAAGACTGCCCCTGGTCTGTGGCTTGTCCTGTCCAGCAGCTTCCATAAACCCACTCTGCCTGGATCGTATCAGCCCAAAGCAGAGTGAGGTGAGCCTGTGCCCTCCAAGGCTCATCTGGAAACTAATATGGTTTCAGGCTTCCAGACAGGAAATGGTGAGAGCAGCTGCCCTCTAAGACTCTGTTAACCCAAATCCAGTCATTTTCACAGGACATCAGCTATGAGGACCCTGGAAACGGGTCCAGGGAACTCCAGGCCCTTAGCAACAGTTCTCAAGTCCCAGCCTAGAGAAAGTACTGGCTCGTCTCCTACTCTTCAGTAAAGATCAAGACAAGTCAAATTGTCAGTGGTGCAGCCTACTCATCAGTAGGATTCTTTTCATAAAATCAAGGTCAAAGACTACAGCAAAGCTTCTTACTTATAGAACCACCACACAGTGAACTAATCTTCATTTCATTACAAACCAAAGAAAAGAGAATCCCAGACTATAGACTCCAGTGGAATCTGTACCCTGTGAAGCAGGGGCCCAGCTTCAGCTGCCTTCAGGCTTCAAGGCTATCGTTCAAGGCCAGCAACCATGAGAAGTCTTTCCTGGCTCCCCACAGCCAGTGATACAGACCTAATCACAGTGCTTCTTGCAGTAAACTGTCCTGACCTTGTCTGTCTGTCCCACTAGGTGGGATGAATCATTGAAAATGAAGGAATTGTTCTTTCTTTGTATTCCCAAGTCGTAGCATGGTACTCAGCACACAGATGCTACCTAGCAAATGCTTAATTGAGAGATTATACGGTGACTTACTTTTCTCCTGCTCCTGAGACAAAATTCTCGATGCCCAAAATTAAAGAAGGAAAGGTTTATTTAGCTCATCCTTTGTGGAGGTTACAGTCACAATCAGTTGGCTCCAAGGCAGGATGGCGTGTCAGAGGAGCAACAGTTTTTATGGATAGATACAAGGGCAAAGCAACTTGGCTGCTCAAGTCCTCACTTACTTTAAGAGGTACGCTCCAGCTATGTGGACCAGGTACAGACAAATATACTGGAGTTGGCGGGGAATTTCCTCCTAGAAACAAGAGATGCAGATGGTGACTGCTCATTCCCCATTGAAGATACAAGGGATGCCGGGAACAAAGAAGAGCCAGGCCCCCATCTCTCTAGGCCTAGACAGCTTTGGTTACAGTCCCATGTCACTCCAGAGTCCCCTGCACTGGACTGCTGAAAAGTCCAAGGCTGAGATTCAGCTTCAGGCCCAGTGTAAAACAAAGTTTGAGTTGAGATAGAAGAGACAGGGACTGGGGAAGAAGGTTTTGGGAAATAATTCATAAGAAAACTGTTTTTTTTTTTTTTAAAAAAAAAGACTGCAAGAATGGCAAAAACCTCTCCCATTTATCTAGGAGTTAGATTTCCCCAAAGTCACAGGCCTAGTGGAAGAGGCAGGCTAGGTACTGGCACTGGGATTCTGCTCTCCTGGGGGCCTCAAGGCACTTCTACTGTGTTTTCCTCAAGCCCAGCACATCCCTTTCCTGACCACATGCCTGCTTCTAGAGGAAGGAAAGAAAAGCCATGGGGGGAGTAGCAGGATGGACATGGAAAGGTGGGCAGAGTACTCACCTTTCGTACCTTCTGGAAGTAAAGCTCGGGAAGTGCGTGTAGCCAGTAGGCAAGCTGGCATAGGTAGAAAAACTTCACCTGGAAGCTGGAGACAGAAAGTGAGTGTCCCAAAAGGGTCTAATGAGTGCATGGAGAAAAGATGGCCAAGGCTGTGTGAAGACCCTGGAGCATATCAGGGACAGGAAAAGGCCAAGGAAAAAAAAAACATGAGTGATTAAAAGCGTGTGGGGTAGGGAACTCCAGGGAAAGTTGATCGCAGGATACTATGACAGATTCAGAGCCTGCTACTTTGAATACACTGAACCGCCATGGCCCTAGGTGGCAATGGAAGATTCAGTCTTCTCTGTCCTTTGCTCCTGTTGTTCTGAAAGGCCTTGGACACACAGCACAGCCTCTTGAGGGAGCCAGGCCAAGCAGCAGAGAGGCAAGGGAGGCTTTCTCCAGGGGAGCAAAGGCTGTGGTGAATGTAAGGAGGCAGAAGGAGACAAAGCCAAGCACCTTTCCAAAGGGTTCTGCTTTGATCTGACCCATGCATGTAAGGACGTGTAAGGGGTACAGTACAGGTGAACACCACCTGGGGTTCTCGTTCCGGGCACACTAACAGGTCCACTGTCCTCACACATGCCCTGATAGACCCAGGACATGATTTGGTCCCCATACCAGCCGGCTACCCACAGAGAAGCCCAGTACCAACTCACTCCTCCCTGGGGACGACGGCATACAAATACTCACGAGAGGTACACGTGCGGGTAGTCTTCCCAGAGGCTTCTTGGGTTCGTTATATATCCTTCCTGTGGTGGGAGAGAAGAAACGGCAATTACAGATGTGAACATGTGGCCAGTCCCAGCATCATGGATGCAATCAGCCACCACCTGCTAGGAAGAGGAAGGAACGGAGATGTGACAAGGAGGGACCTGTCCAATGGTGAAAGCTGTGATGCAGCAGGATCTGGAGACCTGTGTCTTAGCTCAGGTCTGGCATCTGCGAGCTGCAAATGCTGAGCAAGTCCACAAGCGACTCGAAGCTCCCACTGGCTTATTTGTGAAATGAGGATAAAAATACCACCCTCACAGTTATTGCTGGAAATGTGACAGTTCATGTGGCGGTGTCTAGTACTATGACTGGCATGCAGATACTCAGGAAATGCTTACAAAATGAGTAAGCAGATGCTCTAGAATTGCCACCCACTGGAAAACTGAAGAGCAGTTGGCTTTCCACATCCCCAGGATAAAAAGAACAGCAGATTGGGGCTGGGGATTTAGCTCAGCGGCATAAGCACCTGCCTTGCAAGGTCGTGAGTTCGATCCTTGGTACCAATAAAAATGAAAAAGACAAAAAAAAAGAACAGCAGGTCCCTGCAGGCCTCTGTGCGTCTAGACTCAGACCCCCATCGCACTGCATCAGTTTCACCAGTTATTCCTGCTGCTGTAGGTTCCCCATACTAAGGCATTTGCACTTGTTTATTTGTTTATTCATTTAGTGGCACTGGGGTTGAACCTAGGACCTTCACACAGGGCTACATTCTCAGTACCTTTTTATTTTGAGATATGGTCTAAGTTGCTAAATTTCAATTTTTTGATCCTCCTGCTTCATCCCCTCTGAGTGTTGGGATTCCAGGCATGTATCACCACATCCAGAGCGAGGTTTTTATTTTGTTTTGTTTTGTTTGTTTTGTTTTACAGTCCAGTCTAGCCTTGAACTTTCTTATGCAGCCCTTGCTGGCCTCAAACTCATGGTGATCCTCCTGCCTCAGTCTCCCCAGTGTAGGATTACAGGCATGCGCTATCATGCCAGGCTCAGAGCCAGGGTTTTTGTGCGCATGTCAGAACAGAAGATGGTCATGAGAGGAGAAAACCAAGACCCTAGTATAAAATCAGGACCCTTATATTTCAGAGAAAAAAAAAATGATGTAGAAAGTATTTATCGATTAAAAAAAAAAAAGGCCTGCTCAGCCTAGAATGAAAACAAAAACATTCACTCTAAAATCTATGACACCAAGTTATGGATCTGAAGTTCAAAGACATACCAGAAACCACCAGGCCAATAAATTCATACTAACAGTGTTGACGGCCGGTGATATCTTAGGTACATGCCTTCACCCAAGAAAGATGAAGATGTCAAAGTTTATAACTCAAGATTATAAAACTCAGAAGAAATACTACTCCTCCAGCAAGAGTCAGTTGATATCACAAGAGTCCAAGAAACATGTGTTGGTTGAACCAATGAATGATGAATGTTTCAGGAAATTTTTTCTTCTAAAGAAAGCTTTTACTGGACTGGGGATTTAGCTCAGCGGCATAAGTACCTGCCTTGCAAGCAGGCGGTCGCGAGTTCGATCCCTGGTACCGGAAAAAAGGAAAGGGAAAAAAAAAATTATACAAAGAAAGCTTTAACTTGTCACTCAGGGAAGGTCAGACTGGCATGACCTCTTGTAGGAAGAAGGAAAATAAGGAACAGATAGGAACCAGCTCTGAAATGAGATGATGTTTTAGCAGCATGGCTGAAGTCCAGCTGAGCTGCCAACTTCCTGGTCCTAGAACCTCAGGCAGGTTGCTTCTATCAGTCAGAAAGTCAGCTGATCTGGAGCTTTGAAGAAAAGGCTGAGAACCTCAACTGTTCACCTGGGGATTACAGGCAGGAACTTAATAATCTTGAATGAAAGAGATGGCTTGGTGGGAACCCAGTCTGAAATCCGCAGCTGGATTCCAAGGGGGAACTGATCCACCCACTCTTGAATCACTGTGTGCCCTCTGACCTATAAGCATGCATTCCACTTATAGTCTACAGCACCAGGGCCACACCCTTGGCCTCCAAGAGCACACTGACCTAACTAATCAGTTCCATCAGATGCACTAAGCACTGCAGTCATGGTAATTGAGATTGCAAGAGAAAATCTCACCCAAACTTTAAGGCCTATCTATCATCTCACTATCCTAACCTCCCTCTCTGAGGCACGTAGACAGGAGGCTGTAGCCACTAGGTGGTGTGTGGTGGCTCTTCTTACATGCACACAGTTGCCATATGTGTCAACTTCCCCCGTGACATTCACAAATCTGCCTTCATGAACCTCTGGCCCCATACAGACTATACCTGGTCTTGCATACTCTTGCATACTCTTGCATACTTCCTTCCAGGGAAACCACAGAGGTGAGAACACCTCTTTCTGAAGGAAGCAGTAAAGTGTTTCACAGAAAAAAATAGTATTTCTGGGACTGAGATGGGAGAGGCATTTGTGTCACCCTACCCCCGCCCCCTAAGATTTGGCCAAGAGCAGGAGCTTGCAAGAAATCCTCCAGCCTGGAGGGCCTTACAGTTTTAAGGAGGCGCCTCCTCAGACTGGCCTCCTTACTTTGGAGACAGAAGCCAGAACTCTGACACCAATAAACCAAGAAAATGCTGCCCACTTGCAAGGGTCCAGCCTGCAGGGACTGGAGGAGGTGGAGAAGGGAGCAGAGCAAGGGAGCGGGAAGAAAATGACTCACTGCTCTGAGAACAGCCTTTTCCAGCCCTCTGTCCAGGCATCTGTGTATAGGACACTGGGGCTGGGCAGCTTCGGAGCTCAGACATGCATGCCAAGGCACCTGAGTCCCCAGACCAAATGCAGCACAGTGCATGCCCACAAACCCTTCCACAGTCTAGGGCTCAGTGGATGGTTTGGAGAACCCCAAAGTCCTTTGTTCTCTTAATTTCCCACATCACCCCTTGAGCTAAGCAAGACCTCAGCACATTGAAGTTATCCCTCTTGTTTTCCTAGCAGCATTCTTTGCTAGTCTATGAACAAAAAGAACCACAAAAACAGCAGAATCAGACAACACAGCCAGCCACTACCGAGATTCAGATGCACTCTGTATCATTTGAACAGCTAAGCACTAACCAATCTGCTCCAAAAGTAACGAATCTGTTAGCAGCAACCAGTTCTGATAGTGGGGTCCTTCTACCCAGTTCTTACTGACCAATGGATTTTAGGTTTTAAAATATGAAGTCAGACACTCGACGGAAGTCAGACAGGGGAGACCAGATGTCTGCCCACTCTACCCTCTCCAGTGGAAGAACTTTACTGTTGTTTTCCCCTCTTTTCTCTTGAACAACCAGTAGTATACTAAAAATAGATTAAAAGTTAGAGGTTGACATTCTTAGAAAGTCACTTATTGGCCTACCCACAGTCCTGTTACTGCCCTTAAACCTATGCAGAGAAAAAACACCCAAATAATAAAACTGGTATTTTTGGTAGGTGCAGTGTGGGGTACATTTGCTTTCTTTTTTTGAACTTCTCTGTATTTTTAAAAAATAATCATCTGTGATGTTTATGAAAACCATTAGTCAATTATGCAAAAAACTTGAAGGTTAGAGAAAGAAGACACAACTGTAACTTATTTATCAGCCTCACATGAGCACTTAGTATGTGTGAGGTGCTGTAGGAGGGTACAGCAGTGAACTCGGTGCCTGCTAGCAAGGAGCTCAGGGGCCACCGTGGGAGAAACAGACACAAAGAATGCACACCTCAATCAGAGAGATGTCAGCAATGAAGGCAGAGTGGCAAATGCAACTGGGGGCTCTCGCAGGTAGAGAGCAGCTGGCAGAAGCAGCTGACCATCCAAGATCTCTGCACTGAGAACCTGAGCAGAGGAAGCTCAACTACAAAGCCCCAGGGGCAGGAATGGCCAGGATAGTGAGGAAAGCAAGAGTAAAAACATCACGGCTGTGTCCACTCAGCTGAGACCACCAACGCTGGCAGGATCCAGGTCATGTGAGCGAGGAAGAAAAAATAATTTCACTGTAGCCATGAGGGGAGTTTTTAAGCAGGGAAATGCATAATTTGACTTATGTTTTTAACAGACCCATCTGGCCGAACAGACAGTAAATGTGATGGGAGAGCCCAGAGTGGAAGCAGAATCCTTCTGGAAAGAAAATAACCAGCAGTGAGGCAAAAGATGAGGGGGGCTTAGGCTTCCCAGCCTGATATTTGGGGTGGGGACTGTCGTGGAGCTTTCCCGCTCACCGCGGATGTCAGCAGCACCTAGGAAACACAAGTAGGAACACCCTGTGAGGGGCGAACTCCCCCACCACACTAGGGCACTGGAGCAGTAGGAAGCAATGGACAGCATCCCAGAGCACCGAGGAGGCGGAGCTGGCAGAACCCGCTGAGAAACTCACTTTGGAGAATGAAGGAAAGGACTGCAAAAAATCTGTCCCATAATAGAAAACTATGGTGTAAATAATTAGTTGTTTTTAGTCTTTTTAAAAAATCTCTTCTACAAACTACCTCTCTCTTGTTCTTCAGTCACTCTCCTACCAAGCAGATGGTCTGGGGGGAGGAGGGCAGGCAAGGAGGAAAAGGATGTCACGAGGAGTTGGGGCCATCGGAGTCTGCAAGGTTCCCTGGCCTCCAGCCCTGCTGAACACACTGTGAGGATCTGGCTCTCACCAAAACAAAAGAGAGAAGCCCTATATGCTTCCCATCTAATTTTCATCAAGGTTTTCTAGTCCTTAAGGGACTGAAAGCAAACAGAGCAGTTGAGCACATCACATGCTGGAAGGGGTGTTAGTAACTTGGCTCTGGCCTCCAAATCTGGCCTGCATGTGTCGCAGCTGGGGTGGAATGTCTGGGAGTGAAATGCACAGGGTAAAGGTGACTCAGAGATGAAGCGATGCTTCTCATAAACATCAGCTCAAAGGCCTTTGTGCTCACAGCAACCCAGATCTCAGGGTGGACCTGAACTCATCATGGGGTGGGGAGAAGTCTGAAACCCAGAAGTACAAGACTCCTGTGCTTTATACAGGCAGGGGTACCCCTCAATCAGTGTAATCCACCCACCCCCAGCAGGGTGACAAGGTACCCAGCTTGCAAGGAGAGAAATTTAGCTCCTGAATTTAACATTCCTAACTTTGAAAAACTGTTCTGCAATGAAATGATATTAGGAATAAAAGCAATACGCAAAAGGACATGTTGATTCCTGCTTTGAAAATATGAATGTTCAGCTCTGGAAACAAGAGTTCTTTGTGATATGGGAGACTGTCACTGTCATAAAGAGAAAGAAAGTAAAGGATCTGTAGGAGGCAGGAAGGAAATCTCAGAAGTCATAGGGTCACTGAATTTTCCAAGCCTCAGACCTCAACATCTCATTGGACCAGGTTACACACACGAGAGGCTCTAGGTGAGGGTGGAGGTAATTAAACGCTTCCTACTATGACAGGCAGGATCTTGTTAACAGCGAACCCCAGAGGACTGTCCATATTCCTTTGTACAAAGGAATTTTGCTATATCAGAGGAGGCCTGAAATATGAGCCCTATTGCGGAAAGGCAAAGTAGATAAATGTTCTGGTCCTGCAAGTGTGTGTGGGAATGGCACTAGCCCTCACAAGATTTGACATGTGGACACGGTCCACATGCTGGCCTTGCATAGGGTAGGTCAAGGCCCAAAAACAAAGTTGCTGTAATTGAAACTGGACCTCCAAGTCCAGGTCATCCTTGCCACTTCAAAGGCATGTGGTTGCTGTAGCAAAATACAAGCTCGGGACTCTTCAATCTAGTAACAAAGGTCCTGGAATGAACATGATATTTATCCCTTAGGATAGCATGTGTAGGCAGGCAAGTAAAACAATACAGCCTTAAGAGGATACATGGTATGCTTATTTTAATATCAGGTTAGCAAGTGTTTACTTTTGAACACAGTGACTCTTTCTAGCTATGAAATAGCATCCATAACACTTGGTCTCTCACTGTAATACCTTGAGGAAAGCAAAAAGTTTCAATTCTAAATATGCTCTTTCTCTTCCCTGCAAACCGTTTGCAATCCTTTTATCAGGAATCTAACAGACAAAGACAAGGCTGCCTCATGACTGCCTCTCACTCTCCTGGGGTCCTGAGGGCTACTCACCGTCACCACCACGTAGAAGCACCATATCACTGAGCTGAGATGAAAGATGACCAGCTGCCCAGATTCATTGAACTTGCTGTGTTTGACCTTGGAGAGATGAAGTCGTTTGCTGATTTTCTAATAAATAAAGAAAATCCAACACATTAATGTCCAAGTATATCCATAGTGAGCAGATTTCCAACTCCTGTCTTCTCCCCACAAAGGTGAGCATTGTTTGAACTTTTATCCTGGCTAAAACCCAAATTATTTAGTGTAAGCCTAGTTTAAGGCAAGTATTTTGAGATAGGGTAAGATTAACATCTTTAGCTTATACAGGAAGAAAACATCCCCCAAGCATGCTATGTATGACAGATCCCTAAGGACACTGTCACGTTATTCTTCAGACAATGTATTAAATATTGCTGTTCCTGTGCTGATTAAAGAAGGCTGTGGAAAGGGGCAGAGACCAACACGGGCCCAGCCAACAGGACCCACCAAAAGGTGCTAATCAGGGGACACAAGGATGCAGAGCTGGTTTCTTCCAAGGTCAGGTCCTCCACCCCAAGACATCTCTCCGGCTTCTGATTGCGCCATCTAGGTATGTCACTTACATCTAAAATGTACTCCTGAACCACAGCGTGCAAGATGATGGTGATGAAGATGTAGAACAAGATTGTGACCAGGTCTTTCGGGCCGTAGTGGTAGTACACCATCTCACTGTCTGTGGGGTGAGAAGATCCCGTCAGACCCCAAAGTGAAGAGATGAGAAGCAGAATGTGCCATCAAATACCACCCACTTGCTATAGCCCTAGACTCAGAAGAAAGTTTCTCCCCAAACACCCTATGCAACCTCCAGACTTGGCCTTTGGGAAGCACTAATGGGGAAGGCTAAGTGTATCGCTATATTACCATGACCGTGTGTCTCCTGAGTGTGGGCACAAGAACAATGAAATTAGGAGCCAAGGATTAGGGACTATCAGCCCTCGCACTGGGCCCATTACTCCTTGGATGTGTGACTAAGGGTAAGCAATGAACTTGCTATGCCATACTTCCCTGAAGAGGCACAGTGAGGGAGCTAGAAATGTGAAATCAGAAGCGGGAGCGCCTGACTTTGTATCCCAGTTCTGTCCTTTACATTCTATGTGACCTTGAGGTCCTATGGATAGCCTTTCTGCATCTCAGTTTCCTCATCTTCAAAATGAGACTAACAGATTCCATATCATAGGGCTATTGTGAGAAATGAATTAATAACTGTAGGTGTTTGGAATAGTGTCCGGCACATAGTAAGGGCTACAGTATATCTGCTGTTATTTTTCCTGTTGGGATAGTGTAAGGATTCTATGAAATATTTTGTACTTCAGATGTGCATCACACTACCTGTAACTTACAAGAAGCCTTTAACAAATGGGGTCTTATCATATACATGACAATGATACATTAGAATACCACAGACTTAAGTCTCATAACACCCTGCCACTGTGGCTTCCTTCCCCATGGACAGATGAGAATTCAGCCCTGGCCTCTGTAGCCAGCTGCAGGCCAACAGGAGATGGAAGAAAGGCTGCCTGGGCCTCGGTGGATGCCTGGCCAGCTGTGCTGCTTTGCCCTGAGTCACACACACATGAGTCATCACTCTGCCGGAATGCATTTACCAGAAGGTAGGCCAGGGTCATTTTGACTCTGGGTGGCCAGAGAATGAAGTAAAGGCAAACCGAATCTCTTTCGGAATCACCTCTAACCTCAGCCACCTTGGATGGGGAGGAGGGGAGTCAGCAGACTGAACAGCAGAGAACATGAACTCCAAAATCTGGCAAACGTTGTTTCTCCTCTTTCCTCTTCCTTTCCACTAAGACCTACTATGGGAGAGGCGCTGGACTAACAGCTGAAATACAAAGATAAAAGTCACTGCCCTTAGTGGCCAAGTTCCGCAGGGGGATGGACAAATGGACAATCATCCTACAGACAGGCCTTACTGCCAAGAAATAAACAGCACAGCTGGGGCTGGGCTCCAGCTGGGGTGGCGTATGGAGCTAGCACTGCGCAGCATGAGCAGGATGCCACGGAAGCCAGGGGATGGGCAGGTTGTAGTGCAGGTATCTCAAGTCCAGGAAGTGGATCTGTGGGGCCACTGGGCTAGTAGGGAGGGAGGCAGGGCGAACAACAAGGCTGACATGCACTGTCCATATGGCATGGAAAGGGTGGCGCCATTACCCTTAAGACAATACAAACACCCAAGAATGCAAATTAAACAGGAAAATGAAACTTGTGTTTTGGAAGGTTTACTTGCCAGCTGTGAACAGATAGCAGCAATGCCTGGAGGCCAGGTCACCCGACAGGAAGCTGCTCTGTGACCCAGCAAAGGAGCTATGGGGCCTCAATTAAGTTGGAAGAGACAGGAGGGCAGAGGAAGGCAGTTCACCGCAAAAAAACAGAGTGACGTGACAGCTGACCTACTGACAGGGCCAGACACTGGAGATGAGGGAGGAGAGACACACATGTGACTCTACCTCCCGCCTCTGCTGACATTTACACCACCTCATTTCACCTGCCTCCTTAAGGGAGGACCAAAGGACACTAGCTAGATGGTAGTGTGAGTGTGTGTGCCTGTGTGGTTTACTGGTATTGATCCCAAGGCCTTCACACTGAGCTACAAGCCTAACCATGGTACAGGGGATCGAACTAACAAGCTTGTGCTTGCCAGGCAGGGTCTATTGTTTCTTAAGTTAGCAGCTCACTAAGTTGCTTGGCTTGGCTTGAACTTGTTGGCTTCTTGCCTCAGTCTCCCCATTAGCTAGGGCTATAAGAGCAGCATATTTTCAAACTATAAATAACCAAACACATGCAAGGTTTCATCAAGACATCATCATGATTATTAGATAAAATGAGACTTATACTCAACAGAACAAGCACTGTCTGAAACTGGAAGTTGACACCCATCAGAGGCTTCAGGTTATTTGTTCTAATGCCTTCCCAGGGCTACCTGACTTTCTTTACTTCAAATATCATGGTTCCAAAGTAAAGCTTTCTTGAAACAAGAGTGGATGCGGGGTGGGCAGGGAGGAGATATGTAGCTCACTTGCTTTGCATTCTAGGTTCAATCTCTAGCCCATCCCCCAAGTAAAAGAAAACAAAACACACACACACCGTATGAATAGGTCCACTCTGTTTCCTTCCACGAGAACTGTGTGTATGCACGCTCATCAGCCACAAACTGTACACAGGGGCTGGGGTAGGAGTGGAGGGGATGGCACTGAGCAGTGGGCACAGCCCCTGCCCTCAGAGCACAGCAGCACACATTGAATTCTCATGCACTTAAAACACAGTGCCCAAGAAACTTCAAATCAATGATCAATGCAAAAATGAAGCAACTTGATTAAAAAATGGTTAAGACTCATTTTTCTGAGGAAGACATGCCAAAGGCCAATAAGGACACGAGAGGATGCTTAGCGTCACTAATCATTAGGGAAATGCTCATCAGAGCCTCACAGCCAAGCAACAGTTACGATTTTAAAAAACAGACAGTAACAAGTGTTGGTGAGAATGTGTGCAAGCTTTGTGGTCTGGAAGGAATGCAAAATGGTGTATCAATGAAAGAAAACAGTATGGTAGTTCCAAAAACACAAAAGATTAAAAACAGAATTACAATATGAACCAGCAATTCAACTTTTGAGGATAAAAGTGAAAAAACTGAAGGCAAGAGCTCAATGAAATTTTTGTACATCCATAGGCTCAACGTTCTCAATGGTAAATTGGTAGAAGTAACTCAAATGTCCATCAATAGATGAATGAATGGAGATGCAAAATATGGTCGATACACACACACACACACACACACACACACACACACACACACACAGAGTACTACTCAGCCTGAAAAATGCCTTTTTTTTTTTCATCTTTCTATGCCGCTGAGCTAAATCCAAGGCAATTCTGACCCACTACAACATGGGATGGATTGCACTAACAAGAGGTCCCCAGAGGAATCAAATTCATAGAGACAGAAAGTAGAATGGGTGTTGCCTCGGGTCAGGGATGGAGAAGAATCAAAGTAGCTGTTTAATGGCATACAGTTTCAGTTTCTCAAGATGCAATTAGCTCCAGGGACCGGCTGTACACAGTGCAGGAGTACCTAACATTACTGAACTATATACTTGGAAACCATTCAGATGGTGAAGTGTATGTTACGTATATTTTACCATAGTTTTAAAATCAAAGAACAAACCAGCAGCCACTGCAATAAGTGATCTGTGGTGGACTGAGGCTGGGGTTGGAGTTGGTAGGGTCTGCAAGGGTAGGAGATCCATAAGGTTCTCCACGGATCACAGGAGATGGAGGATGAAGACCCCCCTCTGCTATGAGGAGAAAGGGGGGCCTGTGGGTGTCCGCAGGGAGGCGGGAGTGCCCTACGCATGGCAGGAAAGATAGATTCACTAGAGGATTCTAGATGATGGAATCAGAAGAGTCACCGAATGGACTGGCCTCAGGAAATGAGTCTGACGATCCTTCTGGATCTTTAGCTGTATTCTCTAGCCTTCCTTTTTAATTTCAGAAATCTTCAACAAGCATTGTCTCATTTGATCCTTGAAATCATCTCATGTGATGGGTAAACGAAGTAGAAAAAAAGTTCTCAGGTCTCCCAGTGTCTGACTTCAGTCTGGCTTCCACCCTGCCCTAACACCTCACAGCTTCATACGAGATTCAAAAAACTGTCCTCCAATTTACACAAATTATCAATTGCTTTCACTCTTATCTGCGAGCTTCCTAGTTTTGATCAGAATAGGAAAGTAAATTGGTTTGACTCTAGCTTTCTAAAGAGCTATAGGGATTGGAACTTTGTTTAAATATACTGATAAATGGTAATTTTAATTTTTAAAAAAATAGGGGAGTGGTTTGCTCACTAATTCTTATAAATCTGCTTTCATGATCCAAATTAGAGGTCCTGGTCCCCAACCCTGTCCTGTAAGGCTCTCTAAAAGGACAGCTGTTTTGGGGGAGTAACCTATTCTAAATTTTCAAAATGAAATGTTTCAGCGACACAAATGAACACAGTGGCTCAGGAGTCTTAAGGTACAACCTCTGAACAAGGAGGCCCAGTGCAGGAAGCGAACCACTGTCTTCCTTCCACAAAGAAAAATGTTTTTAGCTGTTCTTCAAATGTGTATCACTACCTCATTGGTCCATCTTTCATATCTCCACTTTGTGAAACAAGTTTAAGAAACACTCTTTAAAAAACGTTACTCAGAGAAACACAACAATTAAAACTGCGATAAACAATTGTTAAGCAGCCTCAGTGTCAGGGACACACTAGAGAGGAACAACAACTAGAAAACTCCAAAACTCATATCCCATGGGTGCTGGAGGTCCTGGGGACACCGTTTCTTGGCCACTGTGGCCAAAGGAGAGGTACAGCCCAGTGTGGGCATATGCCTGGTATTTTGAAAACCAGAGAGAGAGAGAGAGAGAGAGAGATCTTCACAAGAGATCATTTGATTTTCAAACGATGGTGACTAATTCAAAACATTTAAAAACACTATATGGGCCAACACTAAACTGACCAAGGAAAATACATCTTCAGGCCAATTTTGACCATGGGCCATGAAGTGCAATGTCTGGCCAAGATGACCCTGACACCAATGATCTGCGTCTTCTTTCATCACCCCATGCCCCACTGCTGCAGGATACACAAATGCATCCTGCAGTAGGAATCAGTGTAGCCACGGA